TAATTTCTTGAGAACTATCTTCTACCTCACTAATCCCCCTTCAATTTGCCTAATCTATTCAATCCACTGAATTTTTATCTCAAATTTGTATTTATTTCTAATTTAAAAACTTTTCCCATTATCTGCTGGGATTTTTTTTACTTATTTTCAAACTTGTTTTAGTTCATTAATCAAGTTATTTTGTTATAGTCTATACGACAATGCCAACATCTGAAGTATTTAAAGATTGGCTTCTGTGTCTGTCTGTCCCCATTTTCACTCATGGTGCCTTATTTATCATTTACTGAGCAAGGCTGCTCATTTGCCTTGGAAGTTTATCTACTGGAAATGTTTTGAGGCCTTAAAGGAAGTGCCTTTGCTTCTGGAAATCAGAAGCATGACCAACTGAGTACCACTTTAAATTCCCCGTTTTGGACCACACAGGTAGCCTAAGTTCAGACTGAAGACCATCTTGTGGTTAGGAATTCTCAGGGAAGATATTCTACACCTTCTATGTGACACCAAGATAGAGACAAACGAGTTCCTTGCTGCCCCCTTCTATGGAGTTCTTTCTTGCTCACGTGCACACTGAGGGTACCCAGCCTTATGTGAGCACCTATTAGATTCTGCATTTTGTTTCCCATACTCTGTGCAGTCACTAAAGCAGGTTAAGGTCTGCTGTGTTTGGCCAAAACTGAGTAAAAGCTTTCTTTAGCAGTTACTTCTTAGGATTCTAGCTTTTGCTTCACTTGGAAGATTTGTGGATTCTTTACTTTTATGGCTGCTCAACAATGTTTAAAAGTATTTTCTATAAATGTATTTACCCAGCATCTTAGCTGCTTCTGCTGAAAGGACTTTTCAGAGCATCTAATCCACTGTACTGAGGCTGAATTAGTTCCAAATATGTGCACCACACTCCCCTTGCCCCTGATTCTGACAACAGTTGTACAAAGACCAACACAAACCTGCCTTAAAGGTAGAAGGCGAAAAACAATTGAGGTGAAGACAAGTAGTAAATAAGTGACTGGAACATCACCATGGATATCCCACATTTCTTTTTCTTTTCCTTGGGCACAAATGTCTCATGGCACTCAGACTATCTGTCCATTAGCACTAGAGATACTGGGGAAAGTAAGGTAGTCATCCCTTTGTGTCCTTAATAAGAGTGAAGTAACCTGTCCTTTTCAACAATGAAGACAGAGATGTATGACTCGACTCGATCCATTCATGGATATCTGGCCCTGGTCCTTTCATACTGCACAAAAGAAGAAAAACATAAATCAGGTTAAAATAATGCAGAACAATCAAAATGATTATTTTCATTGATGCTTTCCCTCACTTCCTCCAGCATTCTCTCCATTCATGTCTGCCCCTACATTCTGAGTGAATCAACTGAAGAACTAATGCTTTAAGGGACAAACAACAGGAAAGTCAAGAGGTCTTAAAGTTATATTAAAAAAAAATTTACTTCTGGCAATACCTTGTTTCTCACTTTCCTGAGCTTTCCCGTGGTAGGTCCTCTCTGGAGTGATTTAAAGTTCTCGGAGGCAGTGGGGCTACTTGCTCCCCCGTTGAGGTATTCTTCATAGCCAAAGTGATGTTTTAGTTAGAGCCAGCAATTCCAGGAGATTCTCTAAGCCCTAGAGTGTCCCATGTCAAGGGATAACTTCCCTCCTCAGCAGCCTGGGCGATACCCACGTGACAGGATTTGCAGGACAAGAAGTTTCTCCTACCTACATGCCACACACCAGCCTATCACTTACCATTACCTCAGTTTCTCTGTAAGCCATTCATTCCTTCGAGATGTTTTCTTTATGAATTCTCTTACCATGGTGATCATCACACATTATTTACATTCACCATGAAACTAGTACTACGGTCGGTGGAGTTGGAGCCAGTTATCCTAGTTCCACTTTGAGCCTGTCACCTTTAGCATGTCACTAGACCAGTGTTGCAACTTGCAGTTAACTGGCCACATACGTCAGAACAATCTGAGTGACTTACTAAGATTTCAGATGCCTGAGTCCCACCTACTGAATCAATTTTTGGAAATGGAATATGGGAATATGTATTTTCAACAAGCATCCAGGTAGTTCGTATGTACTTGCTCAGATCCGTAAGGCTAGGTCTAGCTGGTTTATAACTTGATCTATGAAAATACCAAGAAGAACCTTTACTTCAGATATAAAAATAGGCAAAATGAGAAAGAACGATATAGAAAGACTGGTCTTTAGTTCTTCCTGGGTGAGATATTTGTAGCAAAGTACATTAGTTCAGCAAGAAAGAATGAGTGGCCAAGTGAGGTCATAGCTTTGAACTTTTGTCAGAAACTGTGTCACAGCAAGACTCATTACAGTTAGCTATCATGTTCACAAAACAGCTTTGTGGAGGCAGTAGAATGGTTGACCATAATCTTTAAGCAATTACAGAAAATCTCAGACTTTAAAGGATCCGGGAGTACATGGGAAATCTTGACAAAATCCAAAGGATTCCTAAAGTTGGTGTGAGCAAGAGATATCAAAAGGTTTCAAAAGCTGTACTAAATCAGCATCAAGAAACTTAAGAGATATAGGGCCTTTACAGATCATTCTGTTAAACACCTCATTTTAGTTAGGTAAGGGCACAGAAAGCAATGTTTCAAAAGATCACAGATATTAGCTATATAGGATTCTCATGGATTGTAATCTGTGAGAAAGGATCCGTTTCATTCTCTAATCTAAATCTTACCTCTACACAATGCTTAGCATATAGGAAGCGTTTAGCAAATATTTATTGAATAAGATAAAACAAATGAACCAATCCAGGAAGAAGGGAGTAATGTTTGTATCTAGCTCAATGCCAGTGAATAATAAAGAATATTAACACGGAAATAAAAGGCTATTGACCAGTAGCCAGGTTTTTCTATATAGATAGAAACCATCTCAAGTGGGGCTACCAAACCTCTTTGGAAAGCAAGCTACAATAGCTTTTTGGCTTTGTGCCTCATGCTTCTAGTTGAACACTACAATTTTCAGACACAAATCAAGCCTTAAAAGGTAACAACTAGAATTCTTAGATTTCCTGGTCTTACTAGCCCAAGAAAGTTTTCAGACCCAAGTCCTAGTTCAACAAAATGAGATAGGACCAGCAGCAGCAACTATATAATTTTAATCTAAAAATTTAAGCATTTTACATAAATTCATGAGTCTTTTAATTATATGATAGGATATGAAAGCCTCAGAAAAATAAGTCTCCTTCCATAGGTCTTAATCCTTGGCCTCTGCAGTAGAGACAATCTCTGGTAATCCACACACAAATAATGTCCTACCAAATAGTATGGTCTGTCAAGTAAATAGGCCTATCATCTTCTGACTGAAGGACTGCATATAGCCTGAGAAGCCACATCATGGCCCAGTGATCACCACTTGTATACACAGGCCTTTTAATTCTACATTTTCATATTTATTAGAATGGCAGTTGGAGTTGGTAGCTTCTAATTTTCTACTCGTGTTATGTTCAAGAGGGCCACATATTGTAGTAATCTTTATTTAATGTTAGTTTTCTCAAATGTTACGAAAGAATCGCAGTGACTATGGAAGTCATTAATTCTTTATACTTTGGTTTCTTATCTCTAAGTGAGCAATAAGCTCCTCATGCTCAACTTCAGCCACATTTAATTTTTAAGAATCTTCGGGGGAAAAATGTTTCATGTATAATTAAAAAGAATGTTGTTTAAGCTGAGGATGAGCTCAAAATAAATCCTGGTATAAACTCCTTCTGGTTGCTCTGGAAAGAAAAAGGACACTGATAACGGAAGGAAGTAACCAAGATGAAGAGGGAAGAAATACAGCTTGAAGTGAAGAAATGACACAGACTCCCTACATACACACTTTAAAAACTTTATTTATATAAAAAACTTATTTTTTTTTAAAAGCATTAACAAGAGAGAAAGAAAAAGAAAAAAGGAACGGAGCAGAAGATGTGCCCCTTAGTAGTGTTCGGTGGGAAGGTGGGATTTTTGGTTCTCTGGAATTGAATGTTTAGTGTTTTTATAAATGAAAGAAAAAAACAGTTAAAGGTCCCCAAAAGCCCACAGCTGTTCTATTACCCACACCCCACCGAGAAAAAAAAGAGCACCAGGAAAAGAGCAGAAGAGGACAAGAGAAGCCAAGAGTGGAGCCGGGTCTGGATGGGGACGATTTCCCCTGTGCAGTGTGCTCGTAGGGTGACAGAGAGCAAAAGGCTCCTTTTTACCAGGAAAGGTGGATAGAAGTGGGGAAAACGGAAGGGAGAAAAAGGTAAATAAGGAATTTTAATGCATGGGGAAGGGGAGTGGTGGGTTGTGCACTTTTCTCCTACCCCATAGCCTCAATATATAAGGGAAGGGGAAGAGAGGGATAAAGAATTCCAGTTGCATGGAACAGAGCTTTTAGATTAAGGGGGAAGGCAAATTAAGGAAAAATATTAAAAAAAAAAAAATCAACCCGCATAGCAGCTGATTCCTCTAGCCCAACCTGTTAATATACGCTGAAGTGAGAGGGGGCAGTATTGGGGAGGGGGGAATTGGGGAGAGAACACTTTCCTCTATAACCCCTTCAGAGATGATGGTGAATTCTGGGCACCTAAGGAATAAGAGTTGCACCACTCACTCCTCCCACCAACCTCACTTTGAGATTTATCAAAACAGTATTTTTGCAAAATCCCAACCATATGCTGTTGAGCAAAAGCTTGCTATGGCTAAAATCAGAGGCTACATCAATCCCCAATGGAGAATCTGAGGTTCTCTAGGTCACTTCTCTTCTCTTTCTGCTATTTAGGGCCAACAGTGGGTAAGAAAGCAACAAAATACAATTTGCAAAATTATGAGAAATGAGACTGCAGAGGCAAAGAAAGGCACATGGAAGGGAGGGAGGAGATGCACCCAAGGCCAAAGGCACAAAGAAGAGGCGAAGCCAGGGGCAATCCCCACGTTATAAGGTAAAAGGGATAGGAGTTATATACATCAAGTCTTAGTTGGCCAACCAATCCAGGGTGGAGGCAGGGGAGGATAGGCCTATAAGGGCAGGAAAAGGAAAAATAGGGTAGGGGAAGCCAGCTTTGAAGCTTCCTGCCAGTTTCTGACTAACTGCTTCATGTACATTCCTAGTAGGCTCCTCCTAGAGGTTCCTCTTCTTCTCAAAAGACATTTTTCTGCTCCTTCTCAACCAAAAAGTCTTGACATTCTCCTCTTTCTATGGCCTTTTGCAAATAGCCAGGCCAAGTCAGCAGACATATCACAGGGTGGGAGAGGAGGGTTAACGACAGCCTCCGCAAGGGGCGGCAGCAGCAGCCCATGGTTGACATGAGGCTTGTAGAAGAGATGGAGTCTGTAGGTCCTTGACGGTCCCTGCCTCGGAGATGAGGAGAGCAAGGTTTCTTAATCCCGGTTCTAGGAGACCTCCACTTACTTAAGAGCCCTTGCCAGGTGGAATGTGCCAATGTTGCCAGCCTTCTTTGCTTCAAAAATAGCCATTAGGAATTAGGGAAGAGCTCACATTTCCCCTTCTCCAAAAGAAAATAAAAAGTCCCTTCCCCACCAGGAAAAAAAATCTTAAGAATCATCAGTTTATCAGATTGCTGGACATTGCATATACAGCATGTAACTTCCAAGTCTTCCCACAGCTTCCAGTGAAGATTCCCATTCTCTCCCTCCCTCCACACAAGGCCAAGAGTTCCAGGGAGAGCTGGCAAAAAAAGCTAATCTGCAGCAGTTGCTCAAGATATGCAAATAACTGAGTCAGGCTTCTTGGGAGAAATTGGGCTTGGGGGGGGGGGTGGGACAATTAAACTTCACTGGAAGAAGTTGGGAGTTGATGGAAAGAAGGCAGCCACTTAGGGCTATGAGGGCAGGAGGCAGCCTGGCAGTTGGCACAATAGTCCAGCGAAGAAAGGGAAAATCATCCGTCCATTTCACCACCAAAAAAAAGTACATATATTATAAGCCCAGATGGAACGGAGACAGTGGTGCTAAATCTTCTGCTGTGGAGGGAAAAAGAGAAAGAGAGGATGTTAATAGGGTTGGGAACAAGGAGACCCAAAATACACAGCTGAACAAATCTGAAGGAAGGAAGGCAGCACATAATGAAGAATCAGATCAACGACTGCGTGTCCCAGCCTTTTAAGAGGTAATAATCACAGAAGCAGAACCTCCCGAGCCCACATGGCTGAGACTAGTGTCTCTGGCCTGATCAGATCAGCGTGATTGGCAAACTACTGACACACAGGAAACTCCTTCCTCAAGGACGATCTTGGGGGTAACTAGAGGACATACCACAGGGGGGTAAGACACTTGGTCCCCCTCATCATCCAAAACCAATACATCCAACTCTTCCTCCAGAGATTCCTGCCCCTCGTCCTGCTGTGAACACATGCAATTTGTTAGTATTAATTAGTAAAGAGATAGGAACCTCACGAGTGTGTGCCAGACCTAGGGAAAATCCCAATATCTGTAAACTCAAACAAAACAAGATACAATAGTAAGAGAAGGGCAAAATATTCATAAACAGGAGGGACAGGAAGAAGGTAATGTATGAGAACAGATTAATTAGTGTTAGTCCCATCAGTAACATGTTTATAGACTGGCTTCCTCATCTCAACCACTGCAGAATAATGGCCCAAGAAATCCCAGCATAAGTCAAAACCCCTACTTTTTCCTGAAAACCCCTACCAGAAAAGGATGCTTATCTTTTCCTCTGTACTTTTTTTCCTATTTCACAAAACACACAGGCTTCAAAATAGAACTAGCCTTAGATGGACAACAGTAAACAAAGAGAATTTACCATCAAGGGTGTTGTTCCCTTCAATGGCTCCATATCGCCTAGATCCCCAGATCGATCCAGTGTTCTATTGTGGTCCCCTCTCTCATTCAATGTGGAATAGTTGTTATCTAGGGAAAAAAGTACACAGAAATATGACATTCCCTTATGTACAATATATAAAAAACAGGGAAGCATGAATTAGGCACCTCTGTTGAGAACTGAGCTTTGCCAAATGCTCAAGAAAGACATTAAAGTCTGATGGTCCCTGACTTAAAAAGAACTAGAATCTGATAGGGAAGACATTATGTATGAAATACTCAGATTATGACATATGATAATAAAGATCTGTCTGTAAAATGTATTGGAATTAAGAGAAGAGAGGGTGTAGTATGCTGCAATAGTTAGGAGGGACCTGACAAGGGAGAACGAGACTTGAGTTAAGTCTTTGGGGATAAAGAGAATTTAGAAAAGCAAACGGGAAGAACATTCCAGTAGGAGGTATTGAGCACAATTTAAAGAAACACAGAGTGTAAAGAGAGAATAGCAAGCAGACCAGGCAAGCTGACACAGAGTGCACGAAGAGAAGACAGAGAAGGAAACTGGGGTCACACTGTGATGGGCTGTAAGTTTAGAGACAAAAACTTGAACTTGTGTAACCGGAGAGGCAGAGGAAGATTTTCTAAAAAGCTTTGAGCATGTGGGAATGTGAAAAAGTAAATTTCTTTACATCCTTCCAAATGGAAATGATCAGCCAGTGCTCTTCTAGGACGGTAAATGATCAGGGTGTTAGAAAAAACCACAGTGCTAGTATCCCTCAGCCCAGTGAAATGTTACTCCACATCCTTCGGCAGGAATTAATCACCTACCTAATGATTTTGTGTTTGATCCCATATTGCTCATCTGAATTTCTTCCCGATCAGGTTTCTTATCTATATGAAGTGAGAAAGTTATCCATGTCAAAAACGAACTCTTCAAAATCTATACACAACATAAAAATTGCTCTCTGGTCTGCCCTCCTTTCTTCCCTTCATTCAAATTTCTACTTAGCACCCACTACGTGCCAGGCACTGATCACAACTCCACAGTTGTAACAAGCCCTCATGGGACTTAGAGTGATCGCTTTCCTACAGACTCTCAATACAAGAAACAAATCCATCTAAGCCAGCAGTTTTCAAATTATTTGTTCTCAAGGTCCCTTTACAGTCTTAAAAAGTATGAGGATCCAAAGAGCTTTCATTAGCATGGGTTATATGTATTAATATTTATCACACTGAGAAATTTAAAATATCTACTTCCTTAATAAATTTATGTTAATAATATTTTTAATAGAAAATATTGTTAATTTTTGTGTATCCCTTCTATTACGTTTGGCTTAATAGAAGACAGCTAGATTCTCATATCTGTTTGTTTTTTTTTTTTTGAGTCAAAATCTCTGTTGCGCAGGCTAGAGTGCCCTGGTGTCAGCCTAGCTCACAGTAACCTCAAACTCCTGGGTTAAGGCAATCCTCCTGCCTCAGTCTCCCAAGTAGCTAGGACTACAGGAACACACCCCCACGCCTGGCTAAGTTTTTGCTATTTTTTTAGTAGAGACAGGATCTTGCTCTTGCTTAGGCTGGTCTCGAACTCCTGACCTCAAGCAATCCTCCCACCTCGGCCTCCCAGAGTTATAGGATTACAGGCGTGAGCCACCATGCCCAGCCTAGATTCTCATATCTGTTTCTGCACTGAATCTGTTGGGATATGTTATTTTGGTTGAAGTACACAAAGAAAATATAGCCTCACACAGATAAAAAGTTGGAAAAGGCAGGAAATTTTTAATAGTCATTTCAGATAATTTTGGTTATCCTTCTTTGATAGTATATACTAGACAAGTAGCAGTTTCTTAAAGGTTAGCAGTCATGTGGAATCTGAAACCAAACTAACAATCTCTTCATATTCTGTTAAATTAAAAGACTGGTCTGTCTTGCACTTTGAATGGATCAATTACCCACACGTGATTTTAAAACATCATCCGTTAGTCACTTGCAAAATACTGGTTCGAAGACCTATGTAGATGTTTCAAATGTTAACACACATCATTATATAATATTTTTCTAAAATCACATTCATTCATATCACCACTGATTTCATTAGAAAGTCTTTTAAGTATTGGGAAGTTACCAAGCTCACAGTGGCAGATACAAGTTTTCCAAAATTACAATTTTCACTTGAAAGCCCAGGCAGCAAATACTGTCAGTTATTTTCTTCAAAATGACAAGCTCACTACATTCATTTTTGAGAAAATATCTGCTAAATATCCATGTATAAATAACCAGTTTATTTGCCAGAAATTTTTTCAAGTAAAAATGATGTTCATAAAAAAGTGGCTAGTCCAACTAGTAACTCAGTAACTTAAGCACTTTTCCTTGAGACAATCATCATGCTTTGGTATGCAGCAGAAGTGCTTTATGAGTAATCCTATTTCATCAGCGCAGAATATTAAAAAGATGTGTACTAAAGGGTAGAAAAATAGTACAATTATTAAGTTTTACAGCTCTATCAATTATATTCTTAAGTAAAAATGGCTTTTCTTTTAACTAAGTACATGGCAATGAAGACTACAATGACTCATTCAGTTTGGTGTCACTCCCCTGGTTTGTGCTAGGCCACCAGCAGTAAGCACCAGTTCTTCTGTACCGTCAGTACAAATGACAACATTCTTGGAATCCTTAGACTACACTTCAAGAACTAATAATCGGCCCGGCGGGGTGGCTCACGCCTGTAATCCTAGCACTCTGCAAGGCCATGGCAGGAGGATTGCTTGAGGTTAGGAGTTAGAGACCAGCCTGAGCAAGAGCAAGACCCCGTCTCTACTACAAATAGAAAACTGAGCCCCGCATGGTGGTGCATGCTTGTAGTCTCAGCTACTTGAGAGACTGAGGCAGAAGGATTGCTTGAGCCTACGAGTCTGAGGTTGCAGTGAGCTATGATGATGCCACTGTACTCTAGCTTGGGTGACAGAGTGAGATTCTGTCTCAAACAAACAAACAAACAAAAAATTAATGACCAAGGCAAAAGCCAGTGTCATAAGGGTCACAATATACACTTTAAGTAAAAAAGAAAGAATTTACAAAACAAAATATATGATTCATCTCTTGGGGAAAAATGTGTTTGCTCACATGGCAAAAGTGTTTAAAAAGCTATAACCTAAAATAGCAGTGGCCATCTCTGGGTAACAGAAACAAGTGATATTTTTGTGTTATTTTTCTGGTTGCCTGTATTTTTTAATTTTTCTATAATAAACATGTATTACTTAATATTATATAAAAAAAGTTTTTTGAGAGAAAGTTGTGCTATATTGCCCAGGCTGGTCTCGAACTCCAGGGCTCAGGCAATCCTCCCACCTCTGCCTCCCTAGGAACTGGGACTATAAAACATACACCACTGCACCTCGTCCCTATATGGAAATTTAAAAGAGGGAAAAAAAAAAATAGAAAAAAGAGACTAGGGTCCCAGTGATTTTGATGTCACAAGCAAATATAGGGGAATCACATCCAGGCTAATAACCTGTTTTGTTTTGGTTTCTAATGCTCCTACCTACCCACTTCGCATTACAACCCTGGAGCAGAGTATTATTACCTTCCACAGGGGTGTGGAACCTGCGGCCTTAAGGTGAAATGTGGCCTTCTAGGTCCTAAAGTGTGGCTTTTTGACTGAATCCAAATTTTACAGAACAAATTCTTTTACTAAAAAGAGTACAGCAGAGAAAGATGAAGCTTTTCTTGCCTCCTTTGGTGCTTAAAAAAGAACAATCTTGAAATTAGAAGGCTGCAGGTTCCCCACCCCTGCGCAGAGCGGCTAAAAGGAGAAGGGTGTGCCCTCTGGATACTGTACCTGATTTTTGGTTCCGGTCAATGAGAGGGAGAGTGCTGTCATCATATGAATGACTACTCTGGCTTCGAGAAGCGTTGTTTAGATTCACCTGGAAGCAAACACAAAATGCAATAATGCCACAGAATATTAAATTCACCCATATCTTACTCCTTAGTGGGCACAAACCTCTAAGTTCCTATTTCCAAATACAATTCTTACAAAAAGGCAACTCTTGTAAGGGTTGAATAAATACCCTATACAGTGAAACAAACTAGGATATATGGCTTCTATTTGTGTTCTGGAACAGATTACAAAGGTTCCAAACACTGATACTATCAGAAGGAAATATAGTCTCGGAATAGTAAACTACTTCAAAGAGCTATGGGGACTTGGGGAAAAGACAAAAAGGCCATCTTCATCCTTCATCACCACCAACACTTATAGTATATTATGACGCAGAGGAAGACCAGAGCACTTTCTGCAGCAAATGCACTGTTGCGCCCCACTCTTTTGAGGAGTAAGGCAAATAATTTCTACTAATTAAGAGATGGGTCAAAAATAGATTTAGTATGATGGTGAAAAAGAAAAAAAAAAAAAAAACTCAAAGAAGACAGAAGCATTACCCTGGGACCAAGGGGGGAAAAAAGGTAAAATTCTTGGTCTCAAGAGTTATCATACCTGAAAGTCTGATTTCTTCCACCCTTCTTTTTCCAGTGGCTTCCGCAGTTCTTTATATCCCCAGATGGTCTGTAATACAAGTGCTGCTGCTCGAACTTCTTTTTCTGAGCGGTTCCTTTTGAAGAGAGTAATATCATATGGAATTTGGATGTTAACACCAGGAAAGAAGCTTAGAACCTATACCCTCTAATAAGAACATAAGAATGTGGATGCCAAAATGGACAAAATCAAGTTTTCATCAAATGCTACATTCTATCCCAAGCAGTGACACAAAAAATGTTTAAGAGTCTGTTATCAATTGTGGATTAAAATTAAGATAGAAAATAGAGTAATACTCTTCACACTTCATACATAAACAAAGGGAAATAACCTTAGAAGCAAAAGAGGAAAGCTCCTTCCTAGCAACTCCCTTCTCATACAAATTCTTCCAGCTGTGATTTTAAGTGGTAAGCTCACCCTGATTTGTTGATCAACACCAGCTTCTCAATACCCTGTGTCTCTCGAAGCTTTTTGGCAGCCTCCAAGTTTTCAGCAATAACCTCATTGATGGTGTTCAAAATAGAGACGACGGTGTCCTCAGAGAAATTCCAGGAGGAGTTCTGCTGCCCTCCCGGCAGATTCTTTACCAAGTTAGGAATAGCATGTTTACCTATAGAAGTAGGACAGAAGGAACGTACGCAGGGAGAAAAGGCAGAGTCAGGTCATAAGAAGCCTTGCACTATACTTAAATGCACTGATCATATCAAGTATAGGTACTATCCATACAAATCAATTCATTTTCTTATGGGATTATCATATCAAAAAGGGCAAAGGCCTGGAACAGTCATGGATTTATTGTCCTTCCCACCCCTTTATCTCTTCTCTCCTTCGTTAACACTGAAACAACATGAATACTGTATATATCACATATACTACACAGTCCTTTCAGATATTCTAATAAAAACAATATATTGAATATTATAGTAATTGAATGTAATACAACAGTGATTCTGCCACTAACTAGCTGTATTAACTCTGGGGAAATTACTTAACTTCTGTGAACCTCAGTTTACTTATCCTATTAAAAAAAGAACCTTTGTAACATGTATGGATTAAATGAAAACAGAAAGGTACTTAACATTGCCTAGTAACCAAGTACTTGATAAATAAATAATAGCTATTGTTATTCTACTTTTGAAGAGTCATCATTTCTCATCTTTCCAAGAACCATTAAACTATAACTCTCGCCGACCCTTAGATTCATAAACTATGGAGGGCTAGGGTCCTTCCCTCAAGTCACTGCAATAAATTCAATAAATTATCAAGCACCCGCTAGATTGCGGGCACTATACTAGATGCTGAGGTAACAGCATCCAACTCCGTACCAATTAATTCTTTGTTGCGAGCATCCACAGCCAGGTTTCTCAATGCTCCAGATGCAGCTTTCACTACACGCTCATGTTCATTGGTCAGGAGGTCAGCTATGGCAGAAAGAGCCTTCTCTTGACGCAGAGCCGAGCGAATGTATCGACCATACTAGAAGAAACACATGGTAAGAGGTAAAACAGATTACAAATGGCACCAAACTAGTCATCTAAGTTCTCCCATCTCCAAATTCATTTTCTGAAGGTACTTACCGTCCAGCGCCCAGCACACAAGTTCTGAATCGCTCCAGCCGAGGCTTCTAGGATGGCAGGAGTCTTGCTCTCCTTGAGGAGTGAGATGTATATCCGAATCACCTCTGGCTGAAATAAGAGCTCATAGCCTGCACAAGAAAGGAAAAGAAGGCAGAGGATGCTAATCAATATCTATCAAAAAGGCTCTAGCTAACTGGAGTCCAGCCTTGGTACTCTGAATCAATGGATTTATGCTCCTATATCATTAGGCTCCCTCAACTCTCCTACCCACTCAACAGCAAGCTCAGAGACCTGATTCCATGCCTTAATAATAACTTATCCATGGTAAGAGCAGAACAGATATCAACTCATCATATTTAACTCCTGTCTTTCCTTCCTCCTTACCAATTATTTCTAATTTAACCCAGTCATTCACCCCACTTTACATTAATTAAGTAGAAGGGCCCATTGTAGACATAACATTTAAGTTTTTTATATCTATGGAGGGTTGTGAACTTTGGTTTCACTGTATTGATGATGATAAAGATCCAAGCTGTGAAAAATAAGCTTCTTATTAATAGTGAGGTTTAAGTCTCAAAAACAGTAGTGGCCACTTAGGATTCCTAAGTTTCTGCTCTAAGGACCTTATCCTATCCTATCCTCAAGTAACTTGAATAATTTCCTTAACAAGTAGTCCTTTCCAAGTTATTGTTATACTACTATGGAGTTTTCTAATACTTTCACCATCACTTCAAATCCCTAAGTTGGAGAGAATACTAAACATATACAAACTTACCTCGAGCAGGACTAGTTCTTTTAGGGAAATCCACTGTATCATTTGCTGGATCCTCTACAGGTTTTTTCCCTGTAGAAATGAATAAAAGAGGGAAAAGGGGTAAAAAGTTAAAGAAAGCAAAGATTGCACTTAGCATATTTTTTATTCTTCAGTCAGAATCTTTCGTTCAGAGATGCATGTTTGGGGGAGAAGGGGAACATAATCTGTCCCAGCAGGGGCTATGCAGAAACAAGGTCAGAAAACAGGCAGGAGATAAGTAAGACAAGGATAACCACTGTTGTAGCTACTGTCCTGAGTTCTGATAACAGGGACTGCTGCCCAGAAATAGCATGCCATGAGCTATTAGCTCAAGAGCTAAACTTGTTCCAATGTCTTCCTCAACTACATTTTCCTACATGCATTCACAGAGAAGAGTTAGACAAGAAAATACTAGGGAAGCTAAAACCAAAACATGCAAATTAGAAGTAGATAAGCACCTTAAAAGACTCCACTCACCTCTGGAGAACCATTCATCTTCCAGTGCATCACCCAAGGTGGAAAGCAGAGGAGAGAAACAAAGGAAGAAAAATGCAGGAGAAAGATGTCAGCAGGATTATGGACAAATAAGCAGGAAAGTACAGAAAGAAAAAGAAAAACACAAGAAACACAAAGGATGTATGGGGAGAAGGCCCCAAATTAGCTGGGTTCTCGTCCTTCACTGCCCCAGTCACCGATACTGAAACCACCACCACCTTCAATGAAGCACACAACACAGGGGAAGCAGCAGCAGAGCAAAAAGATATTCATGACCAGGCAGACTCCTATTCTGCTTGGCAAGTATTTTGTACCTAAAGCTAATAGTATTCTTTCCTACCAGGCATGGTGGCTCACACCTGCAATCCCAGCACTTTGGGAGGCCAAGGCAGGAAGATCACTTGAGACTAGGAATTCAAAACCAGCCTAAGCAACTTAGTGAGAACCTGTCGTTATAAAAACTAAAAAAATTAGCTGGTATGGTGGCATGTACCTATAGCCCTAGCTACTCGTAAGGCTGAGGTGAGAGGATTGCTTGAACCCAAGACTTCAAGGTTATTCTGAGCTATGATCATGCCACTGTACTCCAGCCTGGGTGACAGAGAAAGACTCTGTCGCCAAAAAAAAAAAAAAAAAAGTGTTCTCTTTCCTTTCCCTGTCCCACAAGGGCAAGGAACAGAAACCAAAACTTACCTTTGCCCTTCTTGGCCCCAAAGCAACTGGCAGCATGTGGCCCAGTATTGTTGGCAACACTGGGAGGTGCCTCTTGGTAACGCTCTGCCTGTGGGATCTCCCGGTGAACTTGATACGATAAGTTCCGAAGGAGGCAAACACAGTTCTCCACAAGCTTAGGGACAAAAGAAAAAAGGCTCAGAGAGAGAAAAAAATGCCTATTGTGATTTCCCAGCAAGCACAGGTTTCCATGATTCAGGTTTTAAAATGTTGATCCTCAAATGCACAGCCCAATCCACAATCTCTGAGGATGCCTCTTAAGCGCTCCAGGCTTCTCGAAATCCTTGTAGCCTCAGGCTAATGAAAAGCCCAACTCTGGACTTACTGGCTTCTGCTACTCTTTGGTGTGTGACCCAAAACTTGGATCACTGTTTTTACTACTTAGAAAATGTACAATCTTAGAAGACAGCTAAGCAGCTTTAAAATAATACAGGGGAAGGAAATTCTAAAGAAAACTGTTTTCTTCTCAATTGAATTCCCATTTTAGAGAGTAGGGCTGGTACAGATATTTAATATTATTTGAAAGCATGAGACGATAGGTCTTTACTACAGATATCTCATGGTTGTAGTGAATGGAATTCACTCAGACATTAACTTACCTTGCTGTCTGAATCCTTCTGCCCAATCTCAGCCTGAACAATGAAAATGAGGGCATCAACTAAACCATCACATTCCCGAAGTTTCCGGCGAGCTTCACTCCTCTCTGAGCTTACGTTCCTGAGGGGAAACCAGAAGCTTCAAGATGACTCAAATCCAGAAATCCTCCCTAAAATATCCCTCAACATCTACGAGCTTCCTCAATACTTTCTATTCACTATAACAAATACTGAATACCTATTATAAGGCACTGCAGTTGAGAGAAAGCTGATTCACAGTTCCTACCTTCTGCGCTTTTACAACCCACTGGGGTGTGGGTTAATAAATGTACACCAACAACAATAATTCAAGATAGAATAGATACTTCTTGTATGGAAGCACAAATGTAGCATGGAGCACAGCACATAGGGGTATATTCTGAAGAGAGAAAGGTTACATTGCAACATTTACAGGATATAGGAAGACGAAATCAGGAAAACTTTCATGAAATAAAGGCACTTGAGTTTAGCCTCAAAAAGATAAATAAGGAGAAAAGGCATCGGCGGATAGAAGGAATAGACCTTCCTCACCCATGCCCTACCTTCATAATACTCTGTACTCCTTTTGTTGCATTTAATGCAGCTTGACTTGAAGTACAGATAATTGAGGGCAGGGACACAGACACACACAAGTCCAGGACTAGACCAGTGCCTTACCCGTGGTAGATACTGAACAAGGGCTTAACCAAGTAGGTGAACAAAGCTAAAGACAACTAAAAGTGAGGAGGTTGTGTGGGGAACATCAAGCAAGGCAACACAGGTACATGCGGAACACACGAGGAAGAGGTGACAAAGGCAGGAAGACAGACTGGAGCTACAGGACACAATACTGATAGGAGCAGAGGCTGAATAACAAGCTAAAGATTTTTAATCTTTTTTAAAGAAATTTAAGTCACTCCTCAAAAATTCAATCTTTGCGTTCTCAAAGCCCCTAGTGTTACCTGAGGCAGCCAGCTGTGTTGGTGAGCACTGACTCCCACTCAATGTGGCGTGGCTTACAATCTTCATTAGGCTCCCGCTCCCAACCAGAATGTGGAATGATCACTTCATCTGTCAAGGCATGCAGTGCGTGGTCCACAATTTCCATTTTGATCGAGTCATGGGATGAGAGATTCCACAGAGTTCCTGGCAGAGACAACTTGTCAGATAGCTCTCAAGCACCCGACACTGTATGTTTGAACAATGTCAAAGAGAATTTCCCATTGCATCATTTCTTAGTCTTCCCCAATGACCAAGTATCTTGTAGTGATATTCAAGCTTTTTGTTTGTGACCCACAGCAAGAAATATATTTTACATTATAGCAGAATACATACAGATAATGAAATAAAGTTTTGTAAAACAATGCTTACTATAAAGCAATGCTCTCTCATCTATCTATACCACAGTTTCCCAGTCTTAGCACCACTGTTTTGTTTTTTTTGAGACAGGGTCTCATCCAGGCTGGAATGCAATGGCATGATTGTAGCTCACTATAACCTTGAACTCCTGGGCTCAAGCAATCCTTCCACCTCAGCCTCCTGAGTGCCTAGGACTACAGGTGCATGCTACTACAACTAATGGCTTTTTTTTTTTTTTTGAGAGAGAGGGTTTTACTACATTGCCCAGGCTGGTCTCAAACTCCAGGCCTCAAGTGATCCTCCTAACTCTGCCACCCAAAACACTGGGATTACAGGCATAAGACATTGCACCTGGCCACCACTGACATTTTGGGCCTGATAATTCTTTGTTGTGGGGAGCTGTCCTGTCCATTGTTGGATGTTTCCCAGTATAGCCATCTTTACTCATTAGATACCAGTAGCACTCCCTCCCCGACCACGGTCCCAAATTATAACAATCAAAATTATCTCCAACACTGCAAATGTCTTCTGGGGGCAAAATCACTCCCAGTTGAAAACCAGTGGTCTATAGTATTTCTTTTCCTTTCTTTCTTTCTTTCTCTTGAAATGCTGATTAGGTTCTACAAACTGTGTTCAATTTACACTAATGGATCATAACCTACAATCAGAAAAACTGCCGTTCTAAATAAATAAAGGGCCACAAGCTCAAGTGTCTAGGCCAGGCGTGCGGTGGCTCACGCCTATAATCCTAGCACTCTGGGAGGCCGAGGTGGGTGGATCGCTCAAGGTCAGGAATTTGAGACTAGCCTGAGCAAGAGCGAGACCCCGTCTCTACTAAAAATAGAAAGAAATTATTTGGACAACTAAAAATCTATATAGAAAAAATTAGCCGGGCATTGTGGCACATGTCTGTAGTCCCAGCTACTCAGGAGGCTGAGGCAGTAGGATTGCTTCGAGCCCAGGAGTTTGAGGTTGCTGTGAGCTAGGCTGACACCACAGCACTCTACTCCGGGCAACAGAGTGAGACTCTGTCTCAAAAAAAAAAAAAAAAAAGTGTCTATATGGGCCAAGCAGGTGGGTCAAGACAGGGAGATATTTAAAAGAAACTATCAAAATGTAGAAAAATGGCAATTGATACTCAGCTTCCATATTTGGGAGAAAGTTTCCTATGTGGCAGTAGTTGCTCAGAGATAACAGGATATGTTAGAGATTATTACAAATTAGAGAGCACGTGCTCCAATACTCCAATCAGCTTAGATCAAATACTGGGAGAAAAATAGATCCATCTTTTACCAGCTTGTCCACCTTTTCTTTTAAACAGATAGAGTCCTGCTCTGTTGCCCCAGCTAGAGTGCAGTGGCAGCATCACAGCTCACTGCAACTTCAAACTCCTGGGCTCAAGCCATCCTCCAGCCTCAGCCTCCCAAGCAGCTGGGACTACAGGTGTGTGCCACCACACCCAGTTAATTTTTCCTATGTTTAGTAGAGAAAGAGTCTCATTTTTGCTCAGGCTGGTCTCGAACTCCTGACCTCAAGCGATACTCCTGCCTCAGCCTCCCACAGTGCTAAGATTACACGTGTGAGCCACTGTGCCCGCTCACATTTTTAATAGAAGCCAAGGGACTGGAATTTTAAGTGAAATATCCTCAATTTTAAACATTAGCAACCATTTCTTTAAAATTTCAAAAGCCCTGCATGATCTAAACAAATCTGTGAGATGGATCCAACCCAAAGGCCACCAGTTAAAACCTTTAATAAAAAGTAAAAGGACTGGAAACCCCTCTAGCTCTCAACATCTCTAGAAGGTAACAGTAACCCAAACCTAACAATTTTCCTTAAGCCTAGAACTCACCAGTAATGACTTCAGTAAGGTCCATATCACGAGCCTTTCGGAGCAATCGAACAAGGGCAGGAACACCATCACAGTTTTTTATGGCAATCTTGTTATCCTGGTCACGCCCAAAAGAGATATTCTTGAGAGCTCCGCAGGCTCCAAGGTGCACTTCCTTTTTAGGGTGGTCCAACAATCCCACCAGTACTGGGATGCCCTTGAGCTTCCGCACGTCAGTCTTCACCTTGTCATTGCGGTAACATAAGTGTTGCAGGTATGCAGCTGCATTGGACTTGACAGCATCCAAGCGGAATCCTAACATGGCGATCACCTCTGGCAGCTCTGGCTGTCTCCAATTAGGAGGTGGGGGCCCTCCCTTGCGCAGGCTATCCAAGCTTGCTAAACTTCCCCGCTCGTGCTGGGCCAAAGGAGCCCAATAGTACTGATCCGATGGCACCTCCTCACCAATCATGTCTTCATAGCTCCTGCAAAGTTTTGGAAGAACCAAGAGAAAAGTGAAATATATCAAGCCATTAAGCCATTAGCTTCCTGGATGCTCCCATTATCCCTCATCTTCAAGGCACAATTAACCCCAGCTCTAGTACACTGATCTCCCCTTTCCATAAATGATATACTGATCAATTTTCCTTAATGGGATAGGAAAAATAAAGGTAATAATCTTCAAGGCGCCTGCAATTAGATTAAAACTACCTTTTTCTGTAAAGTTTGTTGGCTTAGAAAGTAACAGGCAAAAAAGAAAAAAAGAAAGGAACAGGCATTCAGGAGAGGTTAATCACAAAAGGCTGGGAGCAGTAGCTCACACCTGTAATCCTAGCACTCTTGGGAGGCTGAGGAGGGAGGAACGCTTGAGCTCAGTTTTAGAACAGCCTGAGCAAGAGCAAGACCCATCTCTACTAAAAAAAGAAAAATTAGCTGGGCATGTTGGCATGCACCTGTAGTCCCAGCTCCCTGGGAGGCTGGGTAAGGAGGATGGCTTGAGCTCACGAATTTGAGGTTGCAGTGAGCTATGATGACGTCACTGCACTCTACCCAGGAGGACAGAGCGAGACTCAGTCTCCAAACACATATATATACACACACACACACACACACACACACACACACACACAAAGAACCAAATCCTGATTACTTAGCATTTAGAGATTAAAATAAACCCTCAGACAGCAGAGTTAACCAAAGCAACTGACTCAACGCCACAGAAGTCAGCAAAAGCCTGAGAACAGTTCTTACAAACCCTTAGCTGAACAGGAAACGAAGCATTTACACACGAGAAGCATTTGGTGGGGTAAGACCTCAAAACACATTTCATATTTAAGCTTCGCCTTTATCCTACTTTGGAAATTATAAAAGAGGCTCACAGAGAAAATTAGTAAAGAACATCTTGCTACACACCATGTGAGGACCTGGCTTTGGTACTGATGGGGTATAAACTTGAACATTAATTTTGACAATTCATCTCAAGGTCACATCTGCTACTCAGCACGTATGTTAGAGATATGACTTCTATCCTCCAATTTCTAAAGACAGTAACTCCAATTCTGTCAAAATGGAGTCTACTAACCAACATCACATTTGGGATGCCCAGCCACTAGAAACAGACAAGGCAATTGACGGTAAGAGAAAAGTCAAACCAGAATGTAATTCTTCCTGTTTCAGTACTATCAACAACCACTAGAGGGTGAGTCTGTCACACTATTATTTATTCATAACCACCCGGAAGAGACCCATTATCTCTCACCAGTGGCTCCCACAGGAGAGAGGATTATCTATTGTATTGAGCTCTCCAAATAAATCAGTTATTTGTTCTACAAAACCACTCCTACTGTCACCAAATACTCAAGGTTGGCCAGTGCGGAAGGCCTGCCTCACAGGTATCAACATCAACCACACAACAGTGATTCAGAGGGATAAAGCACTTAGTAAAAAAAAAAAAAAAAAAAAAAAAACCAAGACTATTTTAAAATATCTTCGAAACAAAATAAGTTATATAGTTAAGTTTTAAAAGTAGGCTACTATTAATAATCAGTATATTAAGTAAGATTCCATTTTACTAGGGGAAAAATACGGTATGTTCACATGCATAAGAACTCAAAGGATGTCAACCAAAATGTTGACAGTGGCTCTTTATCAATAGATGGTGTGCTTTACTGAGTTTTTCAAGCTCTGCATTGAGCACAGTTTACTTCTATTACTGTTTCAATATAAACAATTACAACAATTACCATAACCAAAATTTTCATCACTCAGAAATCTGTCTTATATCATCTTTCACAGGCAGTGGATCAGGACATTCTTTCCTTCAAAGCTGTGACCACAAAGATCAAATGACTTGCTTAAGGCTACATAGCTAGTGGCAGAGGCACAAGTAGAACCAAGGTCTTTGAGTTCAGTGCTTTTTCCACTAATCACTGCCTCACTATTTAAGTTTGACCTTGCATTACTCTCCTAGACCTGGAACAGGAAGCAGCAAATGTTCTTGCTAGTCAAGCAGGTTTCCAAGTACAATGTTGTTACACTGGAATAAACCCAAGAACCAGGCCCAAAACCCTATTTATGTCAACTACAACAGCTAGGGACAGCAGAGAATGACCTGGCCACCCACACCTATCTGGTTACTAATGAGGAAGTCAGAAAAAGCCTACTTGCAACAGAGCCAACACCCTGGGCAGACTGCTTCAGTGATAGCTGCTATCTACCACTGCTCCAGGTTGCACCAGCTGCAGTCTGGTGCCCCTATAGGAATAAAAATGAGTCACATGGGAGTTGGATCAGCTCTCCAAGACAACCTGAAAGGTGAGTGACTCAGGCTTAGATAATGGGGCCTCTACCCCTGGGCCCAGCCCGTTCAGTGTTAATCAAAGCTACCCAATACCTGAGGAAAATGAGCACCAAGGCACTTGCTTTCGAAGGTCATAACCCCATACTGAGAAATTCAGCAACAGCTGCTAAGGTACAGCAAGACAATCATAAATCTTCCCTCGTTTCTTATTTCTCTTTGCCTGGAAAACATTGTCCCTAATTTTTTCTAAAGCAGGGTTGGCAGCCCATGGGCCAAACCTGTTTTTGTACACCCCCGGAACTAAGGATGGTTTTTATATTTTTAAAAGGTTATTTAAAAAAAGAACGACAATATACAATGATATATGATCCACAAAGCCTAAAATAGTTCTATCTGGTTCTTTACAGAAAAAAGTCTGCAGACCCCATTCTAAAGCATTCTCTCAAGGCACCAAGGAAAACCATCTACAAGTTCAAACATCAATCACTCCCTTATTCACATCACCAAAGAATCCCCAGGGACAAGTAGTAAAGCCATAGAGTAGGTAGCTGCTTAGCGACCTTTCAGAGTGTTGCTAATGAACCTCTCCCCCTAAGGATGCCAGGCTCAACACAAAGTGTCAGGGCCTTTGTAAGGTCAAGGTTTGTTTTTAACTTTGGGATTAAAACCACCACAGGAAGGTTCTTATACATACCCTTAACTGTCTCTTCTGGCTCTGAAAGCCTAAAACCCTCAACTCTATTGGGTTTGTTTGTTTGTTGTGTTTTGAGACAAGGTCTCACTCTGTTCTCAGGCTGGTCTAGAGTGCAGTGGCATCATCATAGCTCACTACAACCTCAAACTCCTGGGTTCAAGCTATCCTCCTGCCTCAGTCTCCTGAGTAGCTGGGACTATAGGTGTGTGCAGCCACACCCAGCTAATTTTTCTGTGTGTGTGGCAGAGACAGGGTCTCATTATGTTGCTCAGGCTGGTCTTGAACTCCTGTCTTCAAGCCATCCTCCTGCCTCCACCTCCCAAAGTGCTGGGATTATAAGCGTGAGCCACTGTGTGTGGCCCTCAACTCTGTTCTTAAAACCAAACCAGAAGCTGAAGATTCCAAGGAATGAGTATTACATGGCCCCAGACATCAGGCTCCTTTATGATGCACACGATCACCAAAAGGTGGTCAGATCTTAGCTAGACACAGCAGAAACCTTGGCATAAAAGCAAAGTCCATTCTTTTGGACCAATAACCATCACAAGTCATTTTCTATAATTAGAATACATGACTTTCACAATGAAAAAAGATGATATAGATGGTCAACACTAAGCAAAATCAGACAAGGGAAAAACAAGGTGGCCTTCTACCAAAAAAAAAGCAAAAGGGAGGAGGCCACAAGTGTCTCTGATCCCAAAAAGCTCTTAGATAGAATGAAAGGGACCCCTTGTCTCAGAAAGACCCTTTGCTTCCCCTACTCTTGCCTACCTGAGGCGTCGGCGAGGGTCAGAGGGTGTCCCAGTCCGACGGGCAGTGCCATAATCAGACATCATACCATAATCCAGGTCATCATAGCCCATGCTACGCTGGTCATCCTCTAGCCCATAAGGCTCTGGATGAAAACGATGCAGATCCACACTGCTCCCACCTACCCGAACCTGGGGCTGGGGCCCATACACATCCTGTCTACTAGGTGCCCTGTAGCCTTCCATGCTAGGCCTATACCGCTCCTCAATACGGGTCACCCGGGACAGACTGCCATAGTTGTCACTGCCACCTGGATAACCATCTTCATAGTGGCGACTATATCCATCAGGAGGGTAATGGAAGTTCCTGGGAAGGGTAGCAGTGCCTGCTTGCCCCACATAGGGACCAGGTCCCCCATTGCCATTCTTGCGGAAGTCACGACCCAGAGTCTGGATATAGTTGTTAGAAACTGATGAAGCATCCATAGGCAGCCCATCTGGTCCCATAGGGACTGGTTGTACTGTCCTTGTTGTCACAGTCTTCACTACTTTCTTAACCTTCAAGTAAGGAACAAGAAAAAGAAAACTAATGAAGAAAGTGAGCAATTAAATATTAGACCACTCTAAGAAACCCCTACACCTCTAGGTCTCTTTACCTAGAAATGCCTTACAGTCTGCCATCTATCTTTCTTTCCATCCTATAGGAAGTCCCCAAACAGAAAAATTGCCCTGGCAGTAACTCTGACTATAAAGGAAGCTACTATAGAACGTGATATACCTTCTCTCTTCCCCATTCCATTAGATTTTCCCATATCTCTTTTTTATCTTTTCTGACCAGAGATCACCTTCTTTATGCCATCACTACAGATCAATGGCCCTTCATTCACCTTAATTAAATGCTTAACCCCTCCACTAATAGAGAGCACAGGAAGATCTCTTCTATCACTCCCAGAAATTATACAAGTCTTAGCATACTGTGGTCTCTGTACGCCGAGTGGTTCCATCATCTGAGGTCTCCACAGAGACTACAGACATGGCTCCCTCCGGGTCCTCCTCCGTGTAGGTCTCCACAATCTGCCCCGGCTCCTGCATCCTGGGGATGGTGCTATACAGAAGGTGACTGTGATCCTGTATGAAAAAGAGAAAAAGGAGAAAGCTATTAAGCAGCCATATGTATTAACAATCCATCCTAATGAGAAGCGTAAGTGATGCTGCAGGAGACAAGGACTCCTCATGCATCTTCTAAACTTGTACAGAAGGACACTAGACATAATTTCCCAGTTCTAGTCATTTGACAAACACAAACTGAGTTAACTATAACCACATCAACATCCAAGTGACAGAGACAGCGGATTTAACTTTCCAGTTCTGGTCATCTAAGTGAATATGAATGAACTGTGTTACTTCATCTACATTTGAGTGACCCTTCAAAAGAACAGCACACCCAATAAGTAAAGAACTTTTAAGATAAACCAGAAAATCCCAATAAAAGCCATATTTTGACTGGCTCTATGTTACTCTTCAGATACTGCCTAAAGGCTCAAGACCAGCCAGATTTTAGGTAGGGTTTTCTGCAACATAGAAATATGCCCTCTCTAGAAAAGAAATGGAGTGCCTGGGGATCAAAATGGGGGTGAGGGTGGGGTGGGGATAGCGATGACGACCAGTGCCCATTAAAATTCATTCCAAAACAAAACTATATATACATACACACACACACTTTGGAGCTCCACTTTATTTTCTTAAATGAAAGAAACTAATTAATAGGTTTTTATAATGTGCCAGGCACTTTACAAGACACCAATATGCTCTTATAGGCTGGGGAAGATACAAATGAAGCAACCCAGGCCTTGAGACAAAAGAAAATTACCTGGGGTCCGTTGAGTTTCAAATCTGAAAATTTCTGTCTCTCCAGGTCAGCATCACCCACAAATCGGCCGTTCTGAAACACATCCCATAAGAAGACAATTCACTTTGTGGCCTTCCTTTGCTCTATCAAACATAAATGATCTTTTTTCCAAACAAAAAAAGGGCTTTCAAGAAGGTATTTGTGGCCTGGAGTCCTTGTGTCAGTACTCATAAAAAACCACATCACTCCTTAGTCTTAGCACTTTCCTCAAAATTGGAATCAGGCCTGGAACTCTGGCAGACTGGGTCTCTGCAACATAAGAATGTAAGCTCCATGAGGGCAGAGGGTTCCCCCCCGGCCCCGTCAGTTTTGTTTAATGATGTATCCCTAATGCCTTGAACAGTACCTGGCACATAATAGGCACTCAAAAACTACTTGCAGAATAAATAGCAGAGACTCAGGTAAGTTATTCTTTACTAAATCTTTTCTGGAACACCATTAAGAATATAAGGAAAAGTTGGTGACGCTAAAGTGGGGGGGTTTCCAAAAGGCTTCTTTATTGTTCCATGAACCTTCATGCTCTATTACCACTGGAAACTCCCATTCCAGGCAGTGTTTTAAGGAAAGAAGCAAGAGAGAGTCTCCCTTTCTAAATACATAGAAACAAGTACCCCAACTCCCCTCACAAAAACAGAAGTCTCAATATTGTCATCACCAATTATCTGAGCCACAGAATACATTCCAAAATGTTATTAAATTGTTCTGTCTGAAGCAGCAAGAAATAATCTAATGACATCATACGACATAAAAATACATTTGCCTGCTCCTCTTCCAGTAGAATACAGTGAGATCCAGCCACCTTAGGAGACTCTTCCCCCACTCCATCCCTATTACATAGAGAGTGTAATGCTGCAGGGAGAGGAAGTTAAACATTACTTTCAGGAAGAAGGAAGGGTGTGGTTTCATTGCTGAGCAGAAGTTAAAAATAAGAGAGAAACCACGTACTAAATCTTGGAATTCCCCACCACCTCCAAGGCTGATCAGTCCTGTTTCCCCCTTTCTATATCGATATCACCCCTAACCCTCTATTCCAGTTCCTATAATCATCCTAGGAACACTGCAAACACACAACCTCCTTCAAATTCCTAATTATCCCCCAATTGAAATTCTGTCCTCTCACCCAACTATAAGGCTCCTCAGCATGAGGGACTTTCTCTATCTTAAAAAAGGTGTTATCAATGAAAACAACTATCAGGGGATGAGCATTATTCTGGTTCCCAACCAGAGATCTCTTAAGATGCTGTCTATCATGCAATGCCTATCTATCTTTCTCTCTCTCTCACTCACTCACACTCACACACACACACACACACACAGATAAAACCTCAGACAGATTACATCACAGCAAAGTCAGACTAGAAAAACCAGGGGAAACACAAGATCCTTCTCATTTCTAACACCGACTCTCCCAAGTCACATCATAGTGTCAGCCAACCCAGAGACCACTGGCTCCTGTGGTTATTTGGGTTAAATAGCAGCATGATGCTCCCTCTCCAACTCTAACCAACAGAATTAACAATGACCCCTTCCTCCAAGACATGATTTACACAGCCAAGAAAAAGAGCACACAAAGACAATACGGAGCAGGAATATACAATCTACGGACACTGCCACACCTTCTGAGAACAGACTGTTCCCTTAGGGATACTGAACTAGAGCTGAAAGCACAAGATGCCCAACCACTAAGCAGGCATTTACTTATCTGAATTTTTGATACCAAAAAAAAAAAAAAAATCAGAGAAAACAAAAGTAACTTGAGTACAGCCCCAAACTACATTATCTGCCATTACTAGAACTGCATCGCAACCTAGAAAATCTACTCCAGTAAAAGAATTCATCAGATGGATGCTCCCAGAGATTAAGTCCACCCAACTAGGCAGCAATATCCCTTTATCTCTTATCAGTATTTATCACCCCTGCAAAGATTCACCATGAAGCACAGGCAATGGACAGCCCATCACCAAGAGGGGAGTAGCTTCTCAAGAAGGATCATAGCCTCTCTGTGACCATGCCAAAGTCCTACCTGCAGGTCTGTTGGAGAGAGGGGTTACCTGATGCCGGCGGGTGAGGGTGCCGTTGGCCATGAGTGGGTTGGCATCTTGTGGTGAGACCCGGACGCGTTCCAGTTGCGCCGAGACGTGGCGCCGTTCCTCCTCCAGCGCCCGGGTCAGCTTCTCAAACTGGGCCTCTTGTTCCTTCACAGAGGCCAAGATGCTGGCGGTCGACTCCACCTCTGAGTCGTCCATGAAGGTAAGGGGCAGAGCCGCCGCAGGGCAGGGTATAAAGGAAGGTGGATCACAGAGGGAGGAGGAAGGAGGGAGAAGGCCCCCCTCACTTCACACTAGCGGGAAGGGGCAAGAGAAAGGAGAGAAAAGGTCACAGGTCAGAGAAGACAGGTGAATTATTAATCCCAGAGCCAAAGATGCCCTCTCATGGTTTTACTGCAGTGCAGAAAGCAAGCCACCACCAAGCCTGGGAGCCCATCACCAGTGACTGCTCAGTGCGCTTCGCCCAATACCCTCTTCAACAACTCCCTAGAAATAACTACTGAAAAGAAAGGTTCAACCAGATCCAAGTCTCTACACTGTCAGTAGAAGAGGGAGAATGTAGCTAACTGCTGTAGTCATGACATGAGATTAGATTATTTTTCCCTAGAAAAATTTGCTGGTATCAACTCAATGAAGCTATAACTCCATGGTAAGGACAAGCATTCACTGTCCTGCAGGAATAAGCCACTTCTAGAGATAATGGGGCAGTGCAGATCTCACTTCACCTCTCCCAAATCAGAACACTGAAACTGCCACAGTGGCGCCAAAATATACTAAGTTAATATGCTAAATTAAAATGCCAGTTAAGAAATGGAAGCAGTAAAAATGTTTCCACCACCAAAGGTAGGCAACAAAATTAAGGCCTCCATGTTTAATATATTTACGAAAGGGCCTTTCTACTTTCCGAAACTATACTACAATGTTGAGGGCAAAACATGTGCCTTGACTACAGGAGACAAGAGAGTGCTAGAACTACAAAAACCTCTATGTGTAAAAAAGCACTATTTTCAGGAACCTTCACCTCTTTGGAAAGTAGGAAAAGGAGTATTAGGCTCAAACTCTGAAACTGTGCCTTGCAGTTCAGATCCTAAACTCCAGACATCAATGGCTAGAACTTTCCACATCTTGCAATCCTGCAGAAAGCTCTAAATAGACTATCCTTTTACCCCTTCTTCCAATTCAGGGTGGATATCCAGGCACCTAGAGGGTTTATGGGTACTATTTACAATAAAAGATAGTTATACAGAAATGAAGAGGTCCTCATATCCTTATTATATAAACAGCAAGTTGGTTAGTAAACTAGTCATACTATTGGACTTAATGGGTTTTCTCTCTTATAGCTATGGGAGATTTTATGGCCAGTTCAAAGTATACAATGTTGAAATGCAGGTTTTAGAATAAATCTTCCCTATTCCCCACCCTCTTAAGCCCCAAAGAAAAAAGGCACTTAAAAGATTTTTTATTCTTAATAAATATGTTTCCATACACACCTGTTAAGAGAAGGTCGTAATTGATTGGTTTAACACAGAGAACAGCCCAGTCTAGATTCAAAAAATCATGGAAGAAGCATCCCAGCCACCACAGCAAGGAGGAAGCAGGAAGGAGAGAGCTGCAGAAATATTTGGAGGAAAAATGGGAATGAGAAGAAAATAAAATACACCCAATATATAACAAGAGGAGCAAGGGGCAATATTAGGAATGAAAGGCAGTAATTTAAAATATGACTTGGAATTGCTTAAGGTGACAAATGCCCTTTGGAGTTTGCTGCCTTCAGATATCTAGGCCTTGGAAGCAGTTTTCATTAAAACCTGGATTCTACGGTCAGAGTTCCTCACTTGTACTTCCATACAGAATCAGTAACACGTTATAATATGGATTAAAATCCACTTATCCCATTTCCAGCAACCAAATTGGGGAAAAAAAAAATTGCTGTTGGAATGCCCTTCCCCCTCCTTCCCACCCCTTCAGCAGAAACCTCAAAGCCCAGTCCCAGCATGCCCACAAAGATATTGAGAAACCAACTGCAATAGTTGCAGTGGGGAAGACATGTGGGGACTGGCCTAGGCTGAGCCTTCTGCTTCAGTTCCCTTTCCCACGCTCCCCAGAGCCCCACTAAGCACAAACTCATGGGCTTGTCTGTCTTAGAATGTATGCAGCCTTCACCAAGCAAGAGTACCCAGAGGAAACTGATAAACAGGTGTCAATAAACGCCTTAATTAATTCAGTCCCTAATTTAGAGAACGTGGTAGCCCTTCCCTGAATTCTTCCTACCATAGCTCTGGGCTCCCACAATCACTTATAAACTACTGTTCTACCTTTCAGTCCAAAGCCCATTGCCACTTTCTCATGTTCCCACCCCAATAGGCCACTCAAAGATCTTTCTTTAATAAACACTCTTATTTAAAAAAAAAAAAAAAAAAAGTTACTCCCCTTCATCTCAATTTCTTCATTTTAAGCACTTGCCCTTATCTGCTATGAACAATGACCTATGAATCTTCCACACCAAGAGGACTCTGAGCTCAAGAGAGATTCTTCCAGTTACTGAGTTTCAACAGTGCCTGAACTACAGTTACCACGCCAGCAGTCTCCACCCTATAATCTTCTTTACTAATAAAAGCCCAAACTACACTACCATGGGGCATACAGTTCAACATCCCCGCTCCAGAGAGAAAGTGTTTGTCACCCTGCCATTGATGGCCATTTTTTGCCCCCCACAACTTAAATTCAATGAGGGAGGCAGAAAGGAAGGTAGGAAAAATACCCAGGGCTCTAGGTCAGAAAGCAGTATCTGGAGAAACACTGGCTTCCCTCATCTTCATGGCTTTGAAGCTGATCACCTGATTCTATTTTGGAAAAGACGACAGAACAATTAACCAAAAGGAAAAGATCAGATCCCTAGGTCTAAAGCATGGGGAAATATGCTGCCTGAAAGAGGGCAGAAGCAGAGGCTGTGTGGGACAGAAGACAACTCAGAAGACCAGTGAAGTCCTGGCTCTGCTACTAGCCAAAAATGGCAGTAAGTCCCTGCCATGTTCTCATCTGCAAGATGACAAACTCTAACTCAGAGTTGCTGTGAGGATCAGGTGAGATAATGTACGTTATATAAATATGATGTACTAAGTTGTTTCAAGAGTTAGTTTCTGTCTTCCAATTACATTACTTCATGGTAATATCTCAGCCCCAAACTATTCTGTGAACTAGCAGATGAAATTAAGTGGATCAGGAACATAACTGGGTTCTACAGAGTGGATGAGCTGGTTTCCTACTCCAACTCTATTTACTAGCAGGTCTCACCTAGACCAGGTGTTTGTGGGATACAGGACACTTGTCTAGTGCCTGGCAGTCGTCACAGCATCACGCATCTATCATAAGTTCTTAATTCCTTATTTGAGGCCTTAGCAGTTTATTACACCAAGGAGAAAGGGAATGTGAAATGAACTGACAATTACTGAATGTTTTAAATTTATTATCCTAGAAATCCTTGCAACAACCCTAAGGAAGTTTGATTAAAATGAGAAAAAAAAAATGAGAAAACAGACCCATAGGTGAAGAAATTACTCACCGTCTCACACTTAATAGCAAATTTGGAATTTAAACCCAGGTCTATGCCATTCCAAAGCTTATGTCTTTCTATGCTATGTTGTCAAGTCCAAATAGAAGTGCAGTACAAGATGGATGGTCCAGCTCCTCTCCCCTACAAACTTTGAGAACTTTCTTCCTAACTATAACAGGAAAAAAGGGAAAGAAAAGGTTTCAATTTTTCTTCAGGCTAACAGTTATCTACAACGTCTACACATAAGTGAGAGAACAGAAAAAAGATGGGAGGAAAAAGAGAGCATGAGTAGGGGGAAAGAATGAAGCTGTTAAGCAAGCTACAGCAAACAGTCTCGTAACTCAGAGATTTGAGGAAATAAGATTCTTCTCCATGCTATACACATCATAAAAAGATTACACTATAGATCATTAACTGACTTTGGCAGATAGAGTTAGGAAAGTTTTATGAGTCCAGCCCAACACCTTTCCAGGTTTGCCACTTAATATTTTCAAATGGATTACACTTGCTCTCACTAAAAAAAAAAAAAATCCAGGAATTCCCAAAGCAAAAGGGGGGTGGAGGGGCTACATGAAGTGAAACCTGTTATTCCCCTGAGACTAGATTTTTTTAAAAAAAATAGTTGGTTTTGCTCTTAACAAGCCAGTAGTCCTTGGAAGGATTTGTTCTATTATAAACTGGCTGTAGAAATATAACTTGGAATTATGATTCTTAGAAGAGCATAGCCTTTGAAATCCGACTCGGTTCAAGTCCCAGCTCTATTGCTTATTAGTTATATGACTTTGGGCAAAGTACCACTTAATCACTCCAAACCTCAGCTTTCTTTTCTGTAAAATGGAGAAATGAAAATACATAGGGTGGTTGTGAGGATTAAATGAGACAATCAGTGTAAAGTGCTTAGAAAAATGTCTTGACACATAGAAAGCTATTAATACTGTTACTACTATAGGGACTAGAGTTTTGCTGTAGTTGGTAGGGCTTTTGAATAAACCACAGTCTCCCCATGCTCCCTTCTTCCATTTCCAGCAGCACTGTAAAACTATAGGAATTCTAAAGGGAAAAACAAAACAAAACACCAGATTAGGAGTCAAAAAAACCTGTTGTCCAAGTCCTGGCTCTGCCAAAAAACTAGCTAAGAGAGCTTAGAGAAGTTATAACCCCCATAAGCTTCTATTTCTATTATTAATACTTTTCAGGGTTTAGTTTTAATGAACTAATACACGTAAAACCATAGGCTGGGTGAACTCTTAAGTTCACCAATCTCTGGGTTCTTGGGAAAGAAATTTTATCTTTGGCAGCCAGTCCCAAAGGCAGCTCTCCTTCCTTTCTTCCTATTTAGTCATTATAAAATCAAAACCAATGTCACAAATTTATACTCTCCCTCTAAAATCAATGATAAGCCAAAATTCTACTTCTATGTCATTCTAGGGATTTCAAATGGCTTTTTTAAAAAGCTCACTGAGGCCAGCCATGGTGGCTTTACACCTGTAAACCTAGCACTTTGGGAGGCTGAGGCAGGAGGATTGCTTTAGCGTAGGCCCAGGAGTTTGAAGTTGCTGTGAGCTATGATGACGCCACTGCACTCTAGCCTGGGCAACAGAGCAAGACCCAGTCTCGGAAAAAAAAAAAAAAAGGCGCACTTAGCCTCCTACTGCAGAATACTAATCAACAAAATATAGCACCTCTAACACTACAGAACTGTATTATATAACATCCAAGCCAGAAAGGTGGGTCCTCCAGATACCTAAAGGCATTTATTTGCCTTAACTGGCATTTGCCCCCCAAATTCAAAGCAATTTTTTCTGTTCAACCACAAACATAAAAACAGAAAATTGCCATTTGGTTTCTAAATCAAAGGAATATATTTTGTCAACAGTTTTTCTATGGCTTATCAGCTTTTATACCAGAGTCCAAAGTCTAAGTACCCCACCCCACTTGATGTTCCACCTTCCAAAGCTCAGTCAGAACAATTCTAGTACTTCTCACTTCCCTAGAAAGACTCATCTCTATGCTAACCCCAAGTCCCCAGAGTTGATTTGCATTAAGATACAAAATCACAAAACCTGTATTTTGGAAATGGCCTTGTCTAAGTGTTAGCAGTTCCTGCGCTTCCTCATGGATCTGTTTCATGCTAGGCCCAGCTTCTCCACTGAGAGTAACCAAAAGGCTGACCAAAGGAGTCTTACTTTCACAAGGAAAAACAGGGTCTCACTGTGTCCACCATGAATCTTTCTGATGAATTAAGGGAGTCTCTGGGCAAATCGCCCTCCTCTTAGGAAAGAGTGATGCATTCTATCTGACTGGAATGTCAGAGAAAAGAAGGACTTTAAAATAAAACAAATCAAAGTTTATTTTTAAATACTCCTTGTTAAATGGAGGTTGGGCTGGCAATTTCTATATGTCAACAGAGCACCTTAAGCTTATTTCGGTCTTACAATCCTTAACCGAAGTTACCTGCCGGGATTTAAAGTTTTTACTGTGACTTTAAAAAAAAAAAAAAAAAAATCACCGCCACCATCATGACCTCCTAAATTCAGAGACCAGATAAAACATTCTTTTTGCTCTTTTTTCTCCTCCCAAATATTCTGGGAACCCCCCAAACCGTAACATACTAAAATGGCTAAGTGCTGGGCTGGTTTTGAAGCGAAGGAAGGGTGTGGCTCTCAGCTAGTGAGGGGGCCCAGGACTGAAAGGGTATGGAAAGAAACAAAACCTGCTTCTCTGTGGAGCATGCATGACACACACACGGGACTGGTCTAACAAGTCCTTCTGATCTCTCAGGCCAGGCCGCCTCTTTCTCCTCCCCCATTACCCACATGCCTCTCCAAGGCCCTCCACTGGGCCAGATAACACTGAATTTTCTCTCAATCCCGAGAGACAGTCAGGAGACACACAGAGTTACCTACCTGGATCCCTTAGCAACCTTGCCAAAGGTGCCTCACCTAGCCTTAAAAGGAGAAAGCAAGGCTTTAGGGCGAGGCCGATAAGGAAACAAAGATAAGAGGGAGGGGCAAAAAAACAGAGGGAGGTGTCAGACTAGAGGAAGGGGAGAGGCC